CGAAGAGTTCCTATCCAAAAGAATAGCAATTGCAAAAACAGTATAATTAAGAAAGCAGCAAATAGACAAACAGCTACAGTAAAAATACAAGTGTCTTCGGAGAGCGAGCAAAGGCCCTGACACACCTACCCGATTTTGGGAGTCAGAGGCCGTCAGAGGCAGTCGGGCATAGCGGCGCCCTACTCAGGTCGGTGTGTCCCGCACCGTCGTTGCTTTACGGCACATTTTGGCCAAAGAAAGTCGGCCAAAGAAATTACTCTGATTGGCTGTTGCCTCTTTTGAATGACGAATACACACTACCGCTGCCTGCTGGTAAGGACAGTTATTGCCCCTCGTACGCGTTCTTTGGTCTCAGGTTGGTGTGTAGCGGCCTTTAGACCGCTCAAACGCCTTTTTTTTGGGAAGCAGTGACAGGTTGCATTGACAGCTGTTAAGACCCCATAAGACCTCTGGCTCCAAATGACTCATACAAGCTTAATTGCTATTACGCTTAGACATTCCGGATGCAAAAAAACTGTATGGTCGTGTACCAATATATATATCAATACATTCTGTGAATCGCACCTTAAGACATGGCAGCAAACCAATTATGTCTAGACGAGTCCCTTATAACCTATTTTAAAGCTTCATCATTTCCTGTTATCTTATGAAACTCAGAATGTGTTCACCTTCAGCCATTAAAGAATCTTCTGTACAAGGACAGGGAAAATATCTGAAAGTGATGTTGAAAGGATGCCAAGAGCGTGTTTTGTGGAGGATGTAAAGTGTGTGGAGTGGTTGTGGCTCTCAGTGGCCTGTCTGTTAACAGGAAATAACAGGTCCCCTCTGACACTAATTTATTCATATAGACTAAATCAATTCATTCACATCAGACAGACGGATGCACTCCTACACAATCCGACATATGCACACACACGTTTGAGGTCCTCCTGCAAACAAGAGGCTAACACACACACACACACACACACACGTTACCTCTTGTTTCTACATACATTAATAATAAAGTATAGAATCACAGATTTGAGATGAACAACCATCCAGCCTCGGAAGTACTTGAACGCTCACGAGACTCAATATATTGCACCAAGTAATTTGTGTGTAATCAGATACACTTTCCCATATTCTGAGCGCATCAAATGCAAATTTGATGTTGAAAATGCACTCATCTGTACTCAGTAAATTCAATCCTAGGGGCCAAATCTAATTTTCACCATCATCTGAAGTCCATTAATGCCACTATAAGATGAGATGGGCTCCTACTGCACTGAAATCTGACGCACAAGGGGCCGATCGACTGCTCTCTCCTACCTCTCAGGGGCTCCGCTCTAATGAAACCTGTCAGACAGTTTAGAGGGAGTTATTTAAATATTCGGTTAAGATTAGTACATTTGATCACTTTAAGGTTCAAACAGATGTTGCCTCCACAGGAGAAACTTCAGCAGCTGTCCTTTGCTGAAACGTAAACCAACAAACGTGGTAAATGTGACATTTTTCTTCTTCTGGCAAACTTATTTGTAATCGTTGCTCAATGCTGTAGAGAGCGGACTGTGTGGTGGCAAACAATCACTTGAAGGCTCTTCCTAAATTACTTTGTAGTACGTCCTCTTTGGAATTTAAATAAATAGTTGTCTTTCCAACCTCCAACCTCCTGGACCCGTAGGGACTCCAGTATGGATAAAGGGCCAGTATGCCCTAATAGAAGCATGTGTTGGACGGTTGGAAAGCATCTGAAACCCCCCTCCCATCACAGCTGTCTGACACCCTGGGGTGGCTCCTTGCCATCATTTCTGGTACTTTCTAAACCAGCAATATGACAATCATAACCGTTTCCTGCAGAGTTGTACAGGTTGTGCAAAGATGAGAAAAAGATGTAAGGAAAATTCAGCAGTCGGCTGAACTATAAACAGTTTAGCCTTTCCATTACAGAAAGACAGATAGAATATTACATTACATGTCATTTGTTAGATTCTTTTATCCAAAGCGACTTACATACATTCAGTACTGTGGGCAAT